AGCTTACAAGGTGAAAAGCTGTTCAGAAGAAAATTAAATCGTTGCTACTGCAGCTTCATTTCAAGTGGCATCTGAAGCTTGCTGGGTTGGTTAATATCGAACGTCTTCTGTTATTGTGGCGGCCTCAATCATCCCTTTCCAACCTCCAGCTTTTGGAAGAAAGTCACGGGGTCCATTCAGGACACGGCGGTGTGTGTCGATTCATGAAATTCCAGCTCTGATGTGATGGCCGATGATAAACGGACCCATTTTATAGAAAGGCAAAATGCAGAAGGTCAAAAGACAAATAAATGTCTAGGACTTTCAAGAGGGAGCAGAGATTGGGCTGAAGAAACTCAAAGCTGGACCTCATTATTTCTGTTCCACAGAACCGCATTTCATGGTCATTCATAAGATAAGCCTCTGTTTAACTATCCTAATGTCATGCCCTTGTCAGAGTCTGAATCCGAGGAGGAAGACAGACAGTTGATAGGGAGTGGGAGTGTGGCTCCATTGGCTGTGGAGGAGGCTGGGGAAGGGCAAAGTCCAAATGGGCAGAGCAGGGGAGAGGTAGAGCAAGGGAGAGGGAGTTCAGAGGAAGACCCAGGCCCACCCCCTCTTCATCCTAGGGCACGTAGGAAGGAACGGAGAAGGGAGAAATGTGGGTTGCATGGCTTACGGGGGAGGAAAGAGCCCTGATTCCCTTCATTAGCCACACCTGGGAATGAGAGTTTAAAAGAAATGCATGCTGACTGCAGCAGCTGCTGGGAGCAAACATGAGTTTATCTTGTGTTTACTTTGATTATCTGCATTCTGACATCCTCCCAACCGTGTTGAGTTATTGCCATGCCTTCACACCTGGAATTCTTGCTCTTACGCTGTTGAACTAATTACCTCATCTTGCCTTGATTGGACTTATAGTTACAGTTTTTGTTGACCATGTTTTGGACTTGATTCTCTGCAACCACAAGCTGTTCCTGGGAGAGTTTTTCTCCAGCCCAGAAGGTAACCAGGACATTGGGGGCAAAGTTGGAGCTAATAAAGGGGCTCCTACTGATTATCTGAGTGTATTGCCTTTGTGCCACGCACCTAGATTCATGGCCCGGGAGATCTGCTTTTTGGAACCCGTGATTCAAATTGAATTCTGAACTCTTTCAGGCAATTCCGGGACCAGAAATCCATGTTTCCATGTCTTGTCTTACACACACACAAAGATGCACACAAACAGCTCTTTAAAAGGCATATACAGATGTCTTCTCGGCTTCCACCCTCCTTTCAGATTTGACCCTTCACATCTGAAGGTTGGCTCCACAACCTTCTGGTCCTAGATCAGAGAGTCTCAATCATCCAATGTTGACTCAGCCTTCCACCCTTCCGAGGTTGGTAAAATGAGGACCCCAATTGTTGGGGGCCATATGCTGACTTTGTAAACCGCTTAGAGCTGTAAAGCATTGTGAAGCAGTATGTAAATCTACGTGCTATTGCTATAAACAACCGAGCTGCTCGTGGTACCTGCCCCACCGTAGTTTTGTCTGGCATTGTCTATTTTTTGGGAATGTAACGAAGAGACATTTGGGAGCTTCTGATTGGAGCAAGCAGCTAAAAGGGCAAGTAGAAAAAGCGGAATTTTGCTAAGGTGCTTATGAGCTTGCAGAGTTGATTAGCTGCATTGAAGAAAGCTTGTTCCGCTAAGTGGCTGAGGCCGCGTGGTTTTCCTGTAACTGGTTGGGAGTAAAATCTCTGCTTGCTGAGCACACGGTCTGAGCAGAAGGGGCTTAACAGCTGCAAGCTGACTCATGGATTAGTTCATCTGCCAGCAGGTGGACTTGCTTCCTTGGCCCACAGTTGAGTCCCTGGAAGTGTAAGCTAGCTTCCTGACCTGGCAATAAATCGAAGCTCTCTTGAGATTTCACAGCTTTTGCTCGGTTCCTGAAACATGCCGAAAGTTGGGTCGTTAACTTTCTGGCAAATTTTTGCCTGGGACACAATCTATCTCCTATCTACAAAACAGTCCTTTCAATAGTCCCAAGGAAGTCCCAATGCCCATTTGCACTCTGATTCAGGTAACCCTGAAGGACCAGATAAACCCTCCCGCCCAAGTTGATACCAACTATTCTCAGAGACCTAAAGGCCGACTTTCAGAGAGTACTAATGACCAGATGACTTATAAGAATATAAATCCTTCCATTCTGCACCGTTCAGAACTGAAGAAGCTTCTTGGATGAGAAGCGAAATGTTTTCAAGAGGAAAAAAATATCAAGTAAGTCCAGTTGCCTTTTGGAAAAAGCATCTTTGGGGCAACCAATGACCTGGATATTTCAAATGTATTTTTTTCAAAAGGCAGCGGGACTGTTTTCCCTAGAGGAAGAAGATGTTTTGCTTCTCAACCAAGAAGCTTCGTCAGTTCTGGCTGGCGAAGGGATGGAAGGATTTAGTTCTGTCAGAAATCATCCTGTCTGAACCAAATCCTTCATCATGAGTCCTGTCGAGGAGGATCAGTATTTTGTATTCAGGGGTTACTACTAAGAAATAACCACCATGTTGTAACTTTAATGCTGGAAACACATTTATAAATAAATTATTTCACAAAAAAGGCTAGTGTCTCGTTGTATTCAAGACAGTTTGTGATGACCTGGGGTGTGGCACAAAAGCAACAAAGTCACAAAAATAGGTAAAGTCCCTTTATTTCCTCCAATTTGGCCTCCAATGTCCAATTATCATCAGCTGGAGAAAAAGGTCTCCCAAGAACAGTTTTTAAAAGGAAGAAATTCCATCCAAACTCAAAGTACATATAAATTATAAAGAAAAACCAACACAAACCAAACTGCAGCAATTAACGAGACAGGGCAGGATAAGGGATTGAAGACGTCAAAAGATAACAAAATACACATACTTGGGAGGACACCAGAATTCAGATAAGACTTGACAACCAGAATAATTTCACGCTTTGCTTCCAGCAACTTTGCCATGTGCAGTTTGCCCTTTTAAACAGTCTTCCCAGCTGCAGCCCATGAAGGGGATCAGGGCCCTTTCCTCCCACGTAAACCATGTTGCTCCCTTATCCGTTCCTCCCTGCATGCCCTAGGCTGAAGAGGGGGTAGCCCTGGGTCTTCCTCTGAATGCCCAGCCGGCCTGTGCCCTTCCCCAGTTTCCTCCAGAGCCACACTCCCACTCCCTGTCAGCTGTTCCATCTCTCCCTCAGAATCCGATTCCAACTGGGGCATGACAACAGTGCTTCTGGCTATTGAAGTCAACATTCACAGTTTCCAAGTGAATAGTTGTATGTCTGATGATTTTGAATTGCTGATGTAGCTGCTAGAAGTGGCCTTATTTGTGAAGAGAGACGCACTGTTGATTTGAGTCAAGACGAGCAAACATGAAGAAATACCAGGGTTTGTTTATAGTTGAATTGCTGCTAATGGCCCTTGTCTGTTTATTTCCATTCTTCCTCAGAAAAATAGATTTGCTTTGCCCTAACTGAATATTGCAAGGCTTTTTCAGCTACCTGTGTCACCCCCAGACCTCGAGGAGAGGCAAGACAGCTGTTTTGTTGCAGAGCAGGTAGTCCTTGACTTACAACAGCTTAGTGACTGAAGTTCCAACGGCACTGAAAAAAACCAGTGAACATTTTCCCCACGTCCAATCATTGCAGCATTCCCCACAATCACGTCAAAATTCAGATACTTGGCCACTGACCCATATTTACGACGATCGTAGCATGCGGTTCACTTAACAACCGGGTTGGTAACATCACAAATGCAGTGATCCGCTTAACAACTGTGGCAAAAAAGGCGTCAAAACTCACTTAAGAAGTTTCTCACTTAGCAACATCCATTTTGGGCTGAATTGCAGTCGTAAGTCAAGGATTACCTTATGTGGCTTTCCGAACTTATGGCAGGCATTTTCCCCCAAAATTATTTTTTTATTTTTAATCTTTTATATCATTTTTAGTGAACAATGTGTTTCCAGGTTTTAACATTTCCATACAAATATGACCATAATTACATATCTATCTCACATATTCAATTTCTTATCAAATCATTACATTTTCCATTTTCTATAAATTTTCAAAAATATTCTTATATTTTTTCACTTTTATTTTATCCAATTTTAATTCATATAACTTATTCTATTTCTTTAATTATACTCTTATCTTCTTTATATACTATTTTTAAATTCTTTATTTCGTATTCTATATTCACTATATTCTTATGTTTTTATCTGTCATATTTGCCATTTCATCACATATTCTTATTCCATCATTCAATAAATTCCATCTCAATATTGATAATAATTCCAAAAATTTCCCCCTTAATTACCCATTTGAGTGTGCCACCTTTTTATCTTATACACTTATGGCAGGTTTTTGAGACCGTCGGTTTGTGTTGGGGAGAAAACCAGAGATGGTATATTCAGCCGGTTCAGAGCGGTTCTGGCGTACCAATTACGGAAATTTTGATTGGTTCAGAGAACCGGCAAATACCACCTCTGGCTGGCTCTGCCCTGCCCCTTCCAAGAATTCCCACCCACCCCATTTTGGCTCCCAGGTGTAAGTGCACGGAAACTTACTAGGGTAGGGAAAATGGCTGATTGTTGTACATTTCAATTAAAAGGTATGCAGGTAAAAGTGAGGGGAAATGACATTTTCAAGTATGGTGAAGGAAGAGAGTTTCGAAAACCAGGAACTGTTGCTTGGAGAGATAAAAGAGAAGTGAACATCAAAGTGGAATTTCACATTTGAGTTTCTCTTTCGCCCAACCCCTCCAACTGCTACTTGTTTCTCATTCCCTTTGAATTTCATAAAGTTATTTTTTCCCCTGTTTTGAAAACAGTTTTAACAATTGCATCCCAGGCAGAACTTCAAATTTTAGCAGACGTTTAGGTAGATCAATTGCGATCATTTATCCACATAAAATTAAATTAAAAATTGTAATGTATTAAAAACTGCACTCACATAAGTTTAGAAAACTGCTTTTGTGTATTTTATTTTACTAACACAATATCTCTTTTGTTTTTTTCAGCTCCAGTGATTAACCGGTTCACAAGACGAGCATCAGGTGAGTTCCTAAATTTAAATATTCACGCATCGGTTGATTACCGAAATGTTATTTGTCATTTAATGTAATGTTCTTACTGTATATAAAACCCCTAATGTTGCCTTGTTTTTATAATGTAATTATCTGTTGCACTTTTTCAAAAAAAGGAGAAAAAAATACAAAAATAACTACATTGAAATAATATCAATTGCATTTGGTGAACCTATAGTGAAGATACTTCCTTCATCTCAGTGGGGTTCTTGGGACATAAGTTCCATGAAGAACATCTTGCATCAAACTCGTGTCGTCATGGCTTCGTCACGTAATATATCACATATCTTCCCCTTTGCTAAACCGGGTGTGGGCGTGGCCAGCGTGTGGCGCATCTGGCCCGCAGGGCGCAAGTTTAACAGCTCTGTCTTACATATATATGTTTGTGTGCTCTGTATACATTGGAGTATTTTTGTGGTTCCAAAAGCATGAAAAACCCATCTTTGTCCAGAACATATATATAATTTAATAGAATGTACATGTCTTTAAATAAAAAACAATTTACCCAAAAGTTCTGTCAGCATATTATATGGCATTACTTCAAAAGTGTAGTAAAAGGAATGGTAAAAAGTGGAGGCGGAGTTAAAAGAGAGTTCAGCCTAGAATCCTTATGTAGCCACCAATGAACTGAGTCCAACCTTCTTTGAATTGCCTTGGCACTTACCTAACCACTTACCTAAGGTGCTGACTGTTAGTTAAGAAGATTCCTGTGCCTGGGGCATGAGTTTAATCAGTTTAATTGGATCTTCACATGTGGACTTGTGTCTGAGAAAAAGGAATATAAAGAAGAATGTGATCATAAGATAACGAGCTAAAGTCTTTAGGTTAAAGACTAAAGGTTATCTGATGGAATGTCTCTTGCTGGTCATATCTACCCAACCCATTGGAGCGGGGAGGTAGGGAATGCTGCGGTTCCCATCCCTGAGGGAGATTTATACCTGGTGCAACCCAGAAGAAGGGTCTTCTCCGTGCTGGCTCCTTCCCTCTGGAACATCATTCCTCCTGAGAGTAGAATCTCTGTAATACTCTTCCGGAAGGCGCTAAAGACCTGGTTCTGCCAGCGGGCCTGAGGAACCCACAGTGGGATGGAGCCCATCCAATGGCTCGTGTGATCTGCTGTCATCGGGGCAGGGGGTGGGAGTTGGGGGTGATTTTTTAAATTGTTATTTTTCCAGATTTTGTTCTATTTTTATTTGATTCTTTTTATTCGTTTTTATTTTAAATATGGTTTTACATTCTGTAAGTCGCCTCAAGTCGCCATGGGCGATAAGGCAGCAATATAAATTCAATAAATAAATAAATAAATAAATACTCCTCAAATCTCTTGCAATGCCATCTTTCTTACTCTCTACACTCAAGAATGGTTGAAGGTGATTTAGAACTTGGATGTCTCTGCACCCCTTCCTACACCAGCTCTCAATTGTTGTTTGGCGGTCAACCTCTAGAACAGGGCTGTCAAATTCAAGGCCCGTGGGCCATATCTGGCCCATGGGGTGGTTAAATCTGGCCCACGGGCCGGCCTGGAAATAGCAGAGGATTGGCCCTTGGTGCCTCTGGCAGCCCAAACGGGACGGGGGGGAGGACATGTGAGGTCCCCCATGCCCTGTTTTGGTTGGCAGAGTGATGTAGGAGGCCATCCAGGCCGAAAATGGGGCACGGGGGGCCTCGCACAACCCCACACGCCCCGTTTTGGCCAGCAAAGTGCCAGAGGAGGCCGTCCAGGCTGAAAACGGGGCGTGTGGGGGCCTCACATGGTCCCCCCTCGCCCCATTTTCACCGGCAGAGTGCTGCAGGAAGTGTCCATCCCTCTCCCCCGCCTTGGCCGGCCTGCAGAGGAGAACTGCAATGCTGATACGGCCCTCAAAGAAATCCAGTTTGACACCCCTGCCCTACTAGCACAATGTTTTTCCAGCTGGGCAACTTTTAAGATGTGTGGACTTCAACTCCCAGAATTCCCCATATAACACCTCTGGCTGGAGAATTCTGGGGCGTGTGTGGCGAAATCCACGTCTCTTAAAATTGCCTTCTTTGAGTGACATTGCTCTAGTGGCACGAGCCCCTAGGCCAGATTTTTCTTCAGCGAGGAAACCTTGCCACCCAATAAATATTAAAGGTTTTGTGTTCAAATCCTAAAAAAACCTCACCTTGTCATTGTCTGTGAGGCTTGTGGCTGGAAATCCCCCACTGGCCAGAACCTGCTGAAGACCACCTGTGGATTAGATGGTTCAGAATCTTCCTTTTTCTCTATTGGATTCATGTTTCAGGACAGCCTGTGCTTTATCTTGGTGGAAATTAACCAATTAAATAGCCAGAGGTTAATTGTAGAAGCACCTGCTGAGAATAATATGGGGCATTAATTATTTAGCAGATAATCCAGCCAACATGCTGTGACTATTAACAGAGGGTGTTTTTTTTTAAAAAAAAATATTCTACACAGCCAAAATTGTGCACAGCTGCTGTGATGGCACAGTTCCATGCACATCCATCCTGGTCACATCCTTATCTTTCATCCAGGGTACATGTCATTTTTGCCATCCTCCTCCCCCTCCTCCCATGCTTATTAAATCCAGGGTGGTATTAATGTGGGGAAGGGGACAGTGTGAGTTGGTCAGTAGAGAAGAGTTTCAAACTGTGCCATGCCTTGGTCTTGTGGGTCCCTCCCTCTATAACAAAGAATTTTATTTTTCAATGGATAGCCAAGTCATCTGCATAGATTTGCCAGGCCGATATCTTCCAAATGCCACACTGTAGCAGACAATAATTAGCAAGAATGCAGGAACAGATCTTCACCCAAATGAACTGTCTCCTGCAAAACCCCACTCCCCTTTCGCTCCTCTTTTATTCCCTATGGGAGGGGCCATTCACCATCCACCTGTGCCTTTACTCCTGAGTCGACCCTTGTTCCTTAATTGTTCCCTTCTCCAGGCAGCTCTGTGCATGCGCACATTGGGAACAGGCTCCAGCTGTTCTTCTGCTCCACTGATCTCCGACTCTGAAGGTAGCTGATAACTGTTGGACGGCCCTGGCCCCATCTCTGTGTCCGACGCAGAGTCCTCGCCTGAGCCTTCCCCAGACTCCAGGACTGGCCCATGTTCCTCCCCAACCTTCTCACTGTCTGAGTCTGCCTCCAGCTCCACTGGCGGGCCACAACAACTTGAAGATGGGTGAACTATAACTCCCTTAGTCCAAAAAGTTAGTTTAGAAATATACAACAAGCTAAAATCTAGACCTTCTGAATATTTACATTATTTACACGGCTGGCTGGGGAAGGCTGGGAGTTATAGTTCACCCACCTTCAAACGGCCAAGGTTGAGAAACACCGACATAGATTAAACAAGGCTGAACGGAGGCTTTCAGCTGCAGGCTTTCTTCACAAAATAGGCCACCTTTTCATGAATATGGATAAAAGAGAGAGGTGGGAGGTGCTTTGTTTCCCCCCTCCCCCGACTGCAGTCTGAATTATGGATCCTGATTATGGGGAATGCCGAATTGGTTTTTCCAAATGTTCCATTTTTGAAATAGGTTGAAAAAAATGTCCTGGTTTAAGGCAAGCTTAAATGATGTTGGCCAGTTGCCTTGGCAGGGTATTGGTCAGAATCTTCAAGATGGGAAAGCATGGCATTGTGATGGCAGATACCCCCTGTGGCAGGCCAACAACATTGTCTGTGTTGGTAAAGGAAGGACAGGACCTGGAGGCGGAGTCAAAAGAGGAATCAGCCTAGAATGCTTACGTAGCCACAAGCAAACTAAGTCCAACCTTCCTTGGATTCTATAGACCCTTATTTAATTCCAAGCTGGTGCCAACTGTTAGTTAAGGAGATTCCTGTGCTGGCGAACCTATGGCATGTGTGTCACAGGTGGCACGCACATCCTTTCTGTGGGCATGCGAGCTGTCGCCCTAGTTCAGCTCCACAGTGCATGCACGCGCACCTCCCGCTGGCCAGCTGGTCAAGTCTCTGCTGTGCATGCAGGGGCATGTGTGCACATGTGTGGGGGCGTGTATGTATGGGGGCTGCACGTGCATGCATGGAGGAAGTATGTGCACAGGAGCTGCACGTACATTACATTTTGTCTGGAGGTTGTGGAGGAGGCTGGGGAAGGGCAGAGGCCGGTTGGCCAGTCAGAGGAGGATCCAGGCCCATTCCCTATCCATCCTAGGGCACACAGGGAGGAGAGGATGAGGGATAGACATGGTCTACTCGGGAGGAGAGGGCCTTGATCCTCTTCATGGGCTGCAGCTGTGACAACTGAATAAGAGGACGGACATGCGTACTGGCGAGTGCTGGAAACAAAGCGTGAAAATATCTCTATGGTTCGTCTCTGAGTTTGGCTTTCTTCCCAGTGTGTGTTCTGTTATCTGTGGACGTCCTCCAGCCCTAATCTTGCCTGGTTTGTGTTGTTTTTTACTCTTTATAATTTACTCTTTTAATTTACTCTTTATAATTACTCTTTATAAACGGCATTTTCCTCCTCCTTGTAACTGCTTGTGTGGGAGTTTTTTGTCTCCAGGCAAGGATATTTGGAGCTTGGAAGCAAAGTGAAGGAATAAAAGGGGCTTCACCTGTTTTTTGTGACTGTGTTTATTTTGTATCCCACCCTGGGTCATCACAAAAGGTTAGCCATCACTGGCATAGGCTGTTTAGCAACGAATTGGTTGGCTGGGGAATTCCGGAAGCTGAAGTCAGCCTCAAAAGTTGCCAAGGTTGGACACCTCTACTATAGACCGTCCCGTGTAGATGATCCATCAGTGACCTTATTAAATAAAAGGCCGGAAAGGTTCATTTTAGCAGGTGTCCAGTGTACCATAAAATTACGTGGATTGTGTGCTGAGCAGAAAAATCTGAGAAGATCATAATGGTGGAATTATTTGAATTAACTGAAACGGTGTTAATATCTTCAAGAGTTTAATGCACTGAGTAAAACAAAGAACAATTAATGTTCAGCAGAAGGGAGAGCACATTATTAGATCA